TGACAACTTTGCCATGTTAGAAGACTGGCTTTTCCTTTAAATATTTCCTTCTATTTAATGCAACACACGCCACTTTGGAGGTCTAAATTTCGGATACTGAGGATAAAGAAGACACGGACAAAAATAGGGACTCTGAGAATTTCGCACACAAGTTTAAAGCTTCACCGGGACATGCCATCCGGGAGCTTCACAGAGAGCGACTTGAGGAAAATAGGAGCTATTACTGACAAGGTTTGGTGACTGAGTAGAGCATACAAGTGTAGCCCACGTCGAGGTTTCAGGGGGTTTGCTTTTGTTTGTATTTGTATCTTGCTAAGCAATTCATTAAATTTGTACATGATCTTGTGATCACAATTCTGTGTTTTCGCCCATTCAGCAAGCACGCTATATTGATGTCAGCATTAGCGAGTTTCAGAAACATGGCTTTGAAAGTTTTCAGCTCTCGTGATGTTTCTTGATATTTCTTTTACCATTTTATGGAGATGTAAACTGAAGTCACCGCAAAATGGAAACTTAAAAAAGCGTATAATCCATTTATCTCGAAACATAACACACATAACTTATACGACCTTTATTTTCGTAAAGGTGTTTTGAATACGAACGAACACAGTCAGTGCGAGGGGCAAAAACAGCATTAATATAAATGAACCATAGGGTTTTAACTAATAATTATAAGGGTCAATTATTGTGCATTGAGATGAATCGCTTGAAATGAGAGACTTCGCTTGAAGATGTGATCAGAAGTAAACAAAGGCATAATAGTGCGTCACGTTCAGTCTTTTTAATATCCAAGGAGTCACTGTGAATAGTGTTTCCATATTGTTTAGCTGGCACAAAAACTTCGGACGAGTTATAAAGCGGCATAGTTATCTTCCATGAAGAAAAGTTTGTCTTGGGTGAGACAAACAGAACTGGAGCGAATTTTTAATTCGCATCGGTATCAGGTAAAAAATATGTTATCGATCGTTTCATCTATTTACATTGTTTGAAGTGCGTGCTGGTGAACGCAACATGCGAGCGAGAAATCTTTAAACTTTTTTAGGTCTCAAAATGCAATGGATTTTATTCCTTTAAGTTAGAGAAAAATACCATGAGGGAAATCTTAAAACTGAATATTTTTCATCTTGTGGAAAAAATAGTGCGTTTTCTGGTAGACTGTGGACCGCAAATTAGGATCGCACTTTTCACAAACATGCGAATTCTGAAGTTCAGAAGCCAACCGACGATTGCGTTTTTGGCTGCAGTCAATCATCTTAACGGACTTCTTAGGAAACAAAACTTTACTTCACGGGTTCAAAAGGTCATGGTTTGTGATTTGTGGATTTCGATCCGTTTTGTGTGTTTCTCTGTTTCAAGGTTCGTTGCTCGTGATCGTAATTATGATTGACGGCTGCGATAAACACAATTGTGAAGGTGGCTTTTGAACTTTAGCGTTCGCATGTTTGTGAAAAGCGCAGTAAAGTCTCCGTGCAGTCAGTGAGGCCCCTGGATCAGGCGGGATCAATGGGCAGTTAACTGTCTGTTTTAGTATACTTCTGGTTTTCATACAATACAATATTTCTGTCTAGTGTAAATCAGCTCAGTCTGTCGCATTTTATGCTCGTAGAACGACAACAATTTTTTGGAATTTCCAGTTACGTCAAATTAGTCACGTTATACTGTCACGCTATATTTTGGGGCACAGAGGGATTGGGGGAGGGGTACGTGGAAATAATGTAAATTGTTTCCTGCTTAGAATTAATGGCTAACTTGTTTATTTTTATTCATAATGGTGGAATTTAAAAGTTATTATACAGCCCCCACTTAAAAATGGTACTCTTTTTTTTGGTTACGAAAGTCTTTCAAAAGGGTACAATGTTCTGAATGAGTTTATGTTTCAGTCTCACATAAGGTTCTGTCGCATGCAATGGTCGCCGACAAGGTTTTATGGTAGCCTGAGTGTGTGTATAGCCGCCCCCTCCCTTCAGAAAAAATAGCCACTTTGCAGCCCAGTTAAAAATCGCCTTTCGGCGATTCTGGTTACGAATATTTTGTTTCAGAAGAAGGTTGAGGGCCAAACTTGTAGCCTGGCCTAGTGTCGGGGTTGGTTTGGGACCCGTTCACCGTTCACACTGTTTTTTTTGTTATATTACTTCAAGTTTCCACGAGTTATCCTCCAAAGTTAGAGCTTTTATCTCAATGATGCAACTGTGCAAAAGGACATTGAAAGTAGCAATCAAGCCTTTGAATATGTTAATCCTCACTAAAAGCACTTGGAAGCAAAAATTTCTCAGTACAGTTATGGAAATTTTTTTCCATTTTCATTTTCTTTATGCTGAAAAAAATGGCCACTATGCCGGCATTGTGCTCGATGCTCCGACTATAGGATGATGCGCAAAATTAAGCCGGCATAGCAATGTATCTAACCCTACTGATAACTAAGATTCGATTACCCCTACCGGCGTAGACTCTCACTGGGTGTAGTAATAGTGACTCCTTAATCCCTACTTAACCTTTAGCTTCTCCCTACCGTAACAACCATATAGTTAAAGCACTACGGAGGAGAATTTGATATTTAGTCATGGGTACGTTACATCCTCTATTGTTACGTCCTCATAATTGGCAAGATAATGACAATAATGTATCTTTTGATGGATATGAATAGAAAGTAGAATTTTTCGCACATAAAATTGTGAAAGTTTTTTTTTTTTTTGAAAGGCAACGCTGATAGGGTTACATACAAAGCAGTCATTCGTTTGCGGAAGTGATTATTGGAGAACCCGAGGGGAAAGTCCCCTGGTTCACAGACTTCTATCCCTTTCATTCCGTACGCATACTGAGCAGGTATTTTTTCTATCATACTCAAAGAATTTCTCGGTTTCCCTTTGATATCGATCAAGGGGGTAAGTATTGGCTTTATTTGTCTAGGAATTCAATCTGAATTGAGTGGAGCCCTAAAACTTTGAGGGGCGATAGCTAAACACTCTGAATTATAGAATGTATAAACGCAGCATTCTTTTAGTTCCCACTTCGTTCGTACATTCCACAATTAAGTTTTCGTGTAGGGCTGAAAATTTATCGTTATGTATGTTTTCATTTATTAGCAAATCATGGCTACTACACTTCTGTTGAGTACTTGAAGCAGGAAATGCAACAGGCGGAGGCTAGCTACATGTCTTTCCCGTTCACTCTATCCCTTTCAGTTTAATCATTTTGAGAAACCCTAAGGCTTGAGCAAAAACTTGTGACACACTCCTACATTTATCTGGTAATTTAACTTTAAAAAGCTCGTAAATTACTGTTTGCAGCTGCCTAAGTGTTTTGTGAATAAAATAATTTTACTTTCTTATCGTTCTTTCCGGGAAATGAACCGGTTTATTCCCCAATGAAATTGAGAGTGTTTTTTTCCCTTGAATGATGTATAGTTTCGTCATCCCTCTGAAAAAGAATCCTTTTCTGCTTCGTAACAGAAACAGAGGCTAGTAGTAAACAGAGAAAATCTTATCTCAAGAATCGATAACAATTTTCTAAAACTTTCATTAGCAGCAAGTTTGGCAGGGTCCACTCGGAGCTTAGCGGAAAATGATGCATTGTAAGCAGGGTTTTGCTGAGTTTACAGTATTCATTTTTTCGCTTTAATTCAGTTTTCAATACCTTTATAGTTGATTAACAGTGCTAATTAATAGTACACAAGTACAAGGTGTAGACCGTTTTATAGACAGGCAAAGTGTGACGTCACGTTACCATGGTACCAGGGAGCTTAAACAGCGACGGTGGCGACAGCAAGGAGAACGACTAAAAATCAATAGGTTTATATTAGCAAAACAGCAACTTCGCAAGTGCATCACGCTTTTTTTGTACATTTCTTTGCGTCGTTGCACGACTGCGACATTAAACTTTCTAATTTCACGCGCCCGCTTTATGGAGTTGGTGAACACAACACAAAAATTTTCTTTTTCTTTTTCTTAACCTAGATACGTTCCTTTCGGATTCAACCCCCGAAAATTCGCGAACATTTGACAAATTAAGTGAAATTAAATACGATCGATGAAGTTTGAAACAGTGTGGGTTCAGTTTTTAGCTGACGTTTTTAGTTTATTGTCATCCAGAAATTTTGCTACCATGGCAACGTGACGTGAAGACTTCTCCTATCTGTTAAGTCCGGAAGAGCGCAGACCTGATGGCCTGCCTCGTACTCAGGCCCTTCTTGGGATTCTCTGCGGTAATCGTGGCGGAGGGGGTCATGAGAAGCGCGTTTGACTTTTCACGGCGAGCCTTCCCTTGTGACTTTGCATTATTAATGCTTCCTATGATCCTCGCGCCGCGACTACCGTCGAAAATCCCGCTAGAAGCGCCTTGGTACTAGGCAGCCTGATGGACTCTCCTGTCGAATCCTTCTCTTCGTCGATTAGCTGCACTCATTGTATCTTTGCTAATAGTGCCATTACCAATACTAATTTCAGTTCTATGACTAGAACATCACCACCACCTATACCCCTCGCTGCTTGACTTTAATGTCTTGGACATTTGAGAAATTTTAATATTTTATGGCCTTGAGTCGAAAGGCATACTGTTCTTTTTGTGCTATCTCCGAGCCCTTAAAGAAGTGCAATATTGATCGTATTCCGAAATAAGAATAAATGTAATAAACTCTTTTATTCTTATGTCACTTATTTTGTCACTCATTGCATTGCAATACCGAGAAATCTGCTTGAAATAAAATAGCCCGAAGTATGTAGTATTTAAGTGGCCCAAAAATCACTGTACAAGAGATTTGCGACGAAACTTTCGCATGTTCTTATTCCGGTTTAAGCTCAATCGAACGAGGATCAACTGAATCGAAGTTTCTGAGTAACTAACCACCTACCCCTCCCCTAAGTCAACATTGACGCTTACTTCTCCACTGTTTGGGCAGAATTGTGATTTTGGGGAGGGGTAACTGGTCAGTTAACCGTAAACCTCAATTGAACCAATTGATTTCAGAATAATATATCTGGTCCAATCATATCTCAGTCAACACCATGACGGACAATACCCTTGAGGATTCACTCCTTCGCCCAGTACAAGAAGAAGGACAGCAGAAAACGCCGGCCACACTTGAAATGCTGGCAGACCTTCTGCACAAGAACCCTGATCTGTTACCCCTACTACAGACACAAGGACGTGGAAATGCCATAAGTAGAAGGCTACAACCCATCACCAGTGCCTTAGCAGCAGTGGCCTGTGGAAGCTATTCTTGGATCAGGTTTTTGGTAGTGTTCTTGTTGACAGCCCTTTTTAATGTTGTTAACCTGAAGCCAGAAATACCGAAAGAAAGGCGTGCGCAGTTGGACAAGATTGAGAGGGATCTTGGGGACGTAAAGAGGAAACACGAGAAGGTTCTTCATGACAAGACAAGAATGGAAGAAAAGGTATTGCCGCAATTTGCTTTTTTGTTTATTTTTTTCACAAATAAACTTAAAGGCCAGATAAAAAATATTAGGTAATAAATATTTAGATAAAATACGCTATAATTGTGCTTTGAAGGCCTGGCAGAATAAAGTCCTGCTTTAGTACCATTAAATGAACGTGCACCCCAGAATTGTGAAAGATAGAATTTACTCTCTTGATAGGCAGTCATTGGTTTGAGCCCAAGCAGTCCTAGCTGATATAAAATTTTATTATATCCATTTTGAAGTCACTGGTGATCCCTGCAATCTGATTGGCTCTCAGGAGTGTGATTTATTCACGAGTCACACTATTTTTTGCTCTAAGTCACATTTGTTCTAAATCACGTCATTCAGGATCTAAATCGCATCATTTCTATTTTAAATTGCACCACTTTCGCTCTATATTGCATCATTTCTGATCAATTCTGTTTCGTGTACGTACGAAGTGAGGTGTATTATACATCACTACAAAGACTCCAAAGACCCCCCATGGATGAGAATAAACCTTATTTCGGCTATTTCATAGAATATCCCAACATTTTCCGAAATTTAGCCAAGTTTTGAAAGGTCAGCATGAAGTAAGGGCTAACTTCACAAACTCAGTAGAGAAACGATTTCACATACTGTGCGAGCGTGTGTAAAAAATGACTCCAGTCTCCTGTGTAAGGGTCACACTCGGTATTCCTATAAAACACAGATAATGGGAAATATACTAAACACACCGTATGGACGATGAGAAGTGAGAAAAGGCCTCTCTTCCTCTTTTCCTCCTTCCCATCGTCCCCCGAGCGCTTTTAAGTTTTTTCCTCTCCCCAGCCCCCCAATGACACAATAGGGAGTTTAAGCAGCGACGTTTTTGAGCGTCGCGCGTCAACCAGAACCGAGTCTTTTTCTCCTTTTATGTCTTGATGCTATCAGATTTGTATTGCTAAGTGCCTTTACCCTTGTAAAGACGATTTGCCCAAAAATTTGTTCAAAATCACTGCTCAAGAGTGCAAAAAACTCCACTTTCGGTTGACGTGCATCGCTCAAAAACGTCGCTGCTTAATCTCCCTAATGAGGCTCCTCCCCTGAGGAGGAGAAAGTGCCCCCCTTTTTGTCTGATTTGCAATGAACTAAGGGGATAAACTACGCAGGGTCAATTAGCCACTAGTTTCCCCTTTTGTGTCAAAGATACTCATTAGTAATAATTTTGACCACCTACTCTTTATTTATTTGAAAATTATTTAGATCCAAACAGCTGCTGAAAGTTACTACAGGATCTCCCGAAACGATAACCTCGAACTGGAAATGGGACTCGTCAATTCCACATATGTTCTGGGCACATGCCAAGATGCTTTGAAGTATTTAGAAACTGAGATCTCTGACCTGCAGCGTGGAACAAAACTAACCCCTACTCATATTCTTAAACAAGTGATCATTTTCATGGGGTTAGTTATCGCAGCTGTTTTAACTGTTGGCAGTAAGTTCATTATGTTCTCTTGTATATGGTTTAAGACTTGGGACATTTGAACCCTTCATACGCTTTAAAGGTACGGGTTAAGATGCCAAAGGATAAGGTTTTTTATCATTTATTCAAAATATTTGTCCGTTTTTTATTGACTCAGATTTCCGTTTAATTCTTTATAACCGCTTGCGTCGACCAAATTTGGAAGACGATTGCAATATCCAATAAAGTGACGTCAATTGTGTAGGATAACGCCAGAAAAAGGCACGGTTTGCAAAAAGACCTCGGAACAAGGTTGCGTTAATATTATTTTGGTAAAGCTGGAGAACATGGCGGAAGACCTTACACTTGTTGTGAAGAGGGAATAGCCGAACTACTTCCTGAAAAACATAGCAAACAGAAAAACGACAACTCGGCGGATTTCAACTGCTATTTAACAATTATTCCTCGAGCCCGAATGAGTTCTGAGTCAATAGCCCATGAGGCGGAACGCCGAATGGACTATTGACTCAAAGGCCGTGAGGGCGAGAGGAATATTTTTTTTTTTTAGTAAAATCCAACTAGTTGGTCAAAAATATTGAGACAAAACAACTTTAGCTAGTTAAAGCTAGGCTAGGCTAGTCTAATAAAGTTAAGAAGGTCACTTTTTTTCCCACTCACTGATTCTAGCTCACTTGAGAATCTGCTTAATGATCGTCGCTGGATTCGTTGGCAAGAGGAATGTGCAGACTTACTTCAGCAACCAAATGTTGTTGGCCAAATGCGAAGATTTCCGTAAGAACGACCTGCGGAAAGCTGAGCAGTTGCATAAAGAGCTGAGACGTGATGTGGAGTATAAGCTGCCCTCCCTGAAAAAACATCTGGCTGTGTTGGATATTGAGGTGTCGCTGTATACTTCTTTGCACTCCCATTCTGACTGATAGAGTATTCTTTGTCCTAGGGTATAAAAAGATAAAACGCTAAGACGATCAGTAGCTTTAGGACGTTTGCCATGGGCAAATTACAAGTTATGATGGCGAATAGTTTTTGTAATCGTACTTAGCTTCTAAGCAGGAGGAATATTCGCTGTATACAAAAAACACTTAATGATGCTTTTGATTAACTTTGGTCAACGTGGATTTCTTGTAGTTTCTTAAATAAATAGGTGTCTGAATGACACAAAATGAAGATAGGTAAAATGGACCAATATGGTAGGTCTTGGTAGGTTCGCCTATCAAATATATCGTTAAGTTTCATTGCTTACTAAATCTACACAAAGTCTCAGCATATATAGTTCAAGCCTCCGATTATAAAAGTAGTGAGTTCCATTGGAATCTCTGGACAGAGTGAAAGAGTTAAACCGTGAGTTGGTTTCAATAAGGTTCCATTGGTACTGAAAAAGAAAGCACATCTACAAAATTAGAACGATTTTATCAGGCTAGTTACTTGCTATTGCTTACTATAGATCACCTTCCATACTCGCTTCTCCCTAGTTCTTGCAGTCCTAGAATAGGGAGCTTTAGCAACGACGACGGTGAGAACGTCACTCTTAAAATTAATTCGCGTTTTTCAAACTTTGTCGCGTTTATTCCAGTTCGCTGAAAATGTCAAATGTGGGCGAATTTCTCAAAAGGTTGTTTATTGGGGGCCGCAATCAAGTTTAGAAAGACAAAGAAAAATTCATTGTCGCTTGTTTACGCTCTCCGTAAAACGTGCAATTAAAAAGCATTAGGACTTTCACGTCGTAGTCGTGCAGTGACAGCAAAGAAATGTACAAAAAAAGCGTGTCCACGTGCAAAGTTGTTATTTTTCTTAATAACAACAACAACAATTTATTGTCCTGACCAATAGTAAAAACAGAATTAGAATAAGGCATGGGTCGCACTTGGCAAAGTTTTGGAAAAATTTGTTTACCTTGCGGTAGAAATCTGTCATCAGGAGACATTGCCAAGTGCGACCCCAAGTTTTCCGGTTGGAAAAAAACTTTGCGAAGCAGAAAAACATCAAATATGCCGAAGTGCTTGGGCGGGGCAGGCAGATTTTGGAAAACTCGAGCTAAACAATAGGAATCACGGCGGTAAGTGTCAGCGCTTGTCAGCGAAACGTGACCAATTTGAAACACGATCAATTTGAATCAGTCGTTGAAATTTTCTGACCTTCGCGTTTTCGTTGTGGACGGACGAGGCTACCACTAATTTTCGCCATTTTAACGTTTTTGCGAAAACTTTCTACGGGTGAGCAATTCATAAGCTTGTAATCCTTCGCTATTTCAACGTTTTTACGGGAACTCTCTACAGGCGAGCCAATTATAGTCTACCCAGGCACCGTCACAGGTTTGTTATTTTGCGAGCTAAATAGAGTCTTTGCAGCCAAGCACTTTATTTTCTTTATTTCTCCCATCCTCCTGAAACTGGGAAAGGAGGAAAACGATCCTACGCCAAATGATCGGACTGCGAAGAGATAATGTTCTCTGGTATCTGGCCTACTTTAGTTCTCAATGTGTCAAAACAACGACAATTAACTCCCGCTAGTAAATACTAGTGCGACCCTTCTCGATTTGACTAAAAGTTTTCTTTTCCGGTTGCGGTTTCGAATTTTTGTGGTTTTTTAGCCGGCAAAGATGAAAACTTTTCCCAAGTGCGACCTATGCCTAAGATTATAACAAGCTAATAATGGTTTGTGATACTGGCTGTCTGGAATAACCACGGGGCTAAAAAGACCAGACTGGCAGCCATTTTCTTTACAATGACATAAAATTATTTGAAATCGGTACATGACAAGACGATAGACCTTTGTCACGCGGTGGCCATTTTGTCTCAGGAGATTTAAAAAGCTTTGTTTATGCAAGGCTAGCCTCGTAGAGAGAACAAGGCTAGCCGTGCATAAACAAAGCTTTTTAAATCCCTGGAAAAAAAATGGCTGCTGCGTGACAAAGGTCTATTACTAGTACTTGCAGAACTTGCCGAGTACAAAATATAGCGGTCATCTTGCACGCCGACCGCTGACCTTTTTGACGTTCTCGTTGCCGTCGCCGTCGTGGTTGCTAAAGCTCCCTAGTTTATTTCATCAAGCTTTTAATGGAGCGTTTTCACATGACGTCACGGTGGCCATATTGGTGTTCCAAAGCAATCCTCTGAGATTTGACTTCTTTTCTTATGCAAAAGCTTTCTTTTGTTCCAGTAAATTTGCATCGATGCTGTCCACGTGAGTGAAAACGCTCAATAGGCCATTTCCTAGTTGCCCCAAACCTCTGTTTCAAAGCGAGGCTAAGAGCGAAGCCAGTGTATGAAAATGAAAAGGTTTTGCACATAGCTTATTCTCTGCGTCCGACAGAACATTAATGAAAGTAACGACTGGCAACTTTGAAAGAAGTTCTTGTTACTAGAGATTCGCCTCTTCCGCGTATGGCGTATTCTGTGGTTGCTCGCGGGACTCAACAAGCCCTTGAAACACAGACGATCCTTCTGCCTTTTTCTCACTGGATGTATTCTCGGAGAGGAACCCCACAGAGGGTTTACTAGAAAAGAGTCCACATCCTTTTGTACACGCTGACGGACGGAGTTGCAGCGGTTCAGCCGCTGGTCCGATTAAGTGTTCGGCAAGATCTCCTTTCTTTAAAATCAGACAGAAAGCAGAGCTTTGTCTTATAATAAAATTGAAGGAAGACGTGTTGGTAAAATTGCGCGAAAAGTTTTAAACGCAAGCATCGCTTCAATAATATTTTGCAAGCAAGATAGACGCCATTTTGAATTTAAGCGTGCAATGCTTGATGGGAAGACTGGTGCAAATGGGTCCAGACTTCCTGCTTGAATTCCCGAACTGTTGAATTCCAGGAGAAAATGCTCGAAAATTTGGGTATACCTAGTGAGAACTCCTCGCGACGTTGTTCTCTTTTTAGAATTTCGGAAATACTGTTCCATTCGCTACTGGAAGCTGCCTGAAATTCAAACCGGAAGTTTTGGCTTCTTTGCAGGTTAAATGGAAAGCGTGATTTTTTAACTTAAATTAAATGAATCATTTCTCCGAAAATTATTTTGCCATACATTGTTTCCGCTCTGATGCATATTCTCAGAAACAAACAAAAAACAGTCAAAAGTGTGGAGAAAAGGAGAAAACACTAGGCCTCTTTAATGCATCTTACTGCGGCTACAGTATTTCTGAACATCTGGTGTTATATTAAAACACTTACGTCCTCTAAACCTTTACGTTAGTAAGGCTGTAGACCAAATGAGGGAAAATTGTCCAGAAATCAAGGTGTTTTATCGTTCTCAGTCATATCCACTTTTCTCTAACCTACCGGCCGTTGCCCTTAGATCTTCTTAGTCAAGGCAACGGAAGAAGGAAAATCCTAGCTCCTCCCGACTTAGCTAAATTGAGGAGCCATTGCTCGCAGGGAATTTATTCTCGGGACCTTTGTGAATGATAAACAGTGATATCAAAGGGATAGATTAGAAGAGACCCTAACACTGCCCCCTCCCTCTCCACCGAAAAAAAAACATTTGAAGCCATCCAGCTTCCTTTCGCTGAAAATGAGTCTTCGTATATCGCAACTTGTTTTCTTGGAAACATACTTAATCGTAGATGTAAAGTTATAGCAGCTGTTTGTTTGTATAATGATACAATGAGTACTTGAAGGGAAAAATCCCTATAGATGGACCTTCAGTGCCCTTTCAATTTGAACGCTTCCAAGTATCCTGCTATAACAAGCAGGGCTTTGAAAGTAGTTCGAAAATTGAGGAGCCATAGCCTTTATTTCCTCAGTGTTGTCATTAAAGCCGTCACCAGCGGAGGTAAGTCAAGAATTTGTACTTCACGGTTTATAATGAACCCAGCATAAATAACCGTTTTGCGAATTTACGCCAACATTCGAGCAAAATTCAAAGCCGCTGCTTATCATTGTTGAATGCTATTGAAACATTTAAATGAATCGTTTTTCGTTTTTTTTTTTTTGCTACTTCATTGTTAAAATACAGACAACTCAACTCTAGTTGAGTACATCACGTCATCAGGAAATGAAATAACAAGCTACTGGCTCTGAAGCCTCGCTGGATAAAATGAATATTGTACATGTGCTAAACTCCGTCTTACTATGACTTTAAATTTCTATTTTGATTTTTAAGCCGGTGTTATTTCAATATGTACCAGGTTTAAATATGCGAAAATGAAATTTCCTTTTTGTTTTCCGGGAAATTAAGCTTAACTGGCTAATTCACCATTAAAAATTTAAAATTGTTTTCGGTTTAACTTACCGGCAGAGGCTTTTGTAGCAAAGGTTTCTTACGACTGAATACTATACTGTACTGATCTGTGCTGAGTGCCTTACCTGTCGGTAACTCTTTCTTCCGCCACGAATTGAGTCATCTTCAGTACAAATGAACGGCGTCCAATCATTAAATTAAAAATCCATACGTGAACTGAACCTGTTGCAAAATGACAGACAATACTGTCTAACGTTGTATCACTATGCTTTCAGATCCTTTTCCGGGAAATACAATCACTAAAGCCACTACGGTGCCGGCTTAAAGTAAAAATTCTACCGGGAGATTGATGTTTATCACTTTGTGCTTTTCTGTTGCGGCATTTTGGATGCATTTTAATGTTGACAAAGGTCGTTCAATTCCCAGAAATATGGTTGAAATTATAAGCCCCGATATCCTACAAGAACTGACACCGTGTTTTAAAACAAGCTACTGCTACATAGCAGCAGTAGTGCTGATCAAAATACTTTTAAAATCTGATCGCTTTTTTAAGTTTCAAAACGTCGTAAAACTGTCGAATTCATTTCATTACAAGCTAGAGGAGGGGCTTATATTCGGGGGGAAGAGCTTATAACTGGAAGTATTTTTTTTGTTTGCAGGTAGATGTGCTTATAAATAAGGGGACTTATGAGTTGGGGGGACTTGTAATCGAAAGTTTAAAGTTTTCTTTCCATATTTTTTAA